AATTTTGTCTTTATAGTGTTCATTTCGTCTCTTTGTCAAAATAATTAATTCTTTTTATTTAATAAACATTTTATATATCTTTAACTCTTCTCTTTTAATCTATATCCGTTACTGATTTATAACTTTAAGACTATTATTTATTCATTTAATATCTACATCGAATGACCGACCTTGGTCACTAGACGTTATCTTTTTTGTCCAAGAAATATTTAGGTAATAATAGTTTTAACTCATTAAATACACTAATTAAGTAATAATTAAGAATCTTCACTCTTTTCATATATATCTACTTGCTATCACTATCTATCTATCGCTGTTATTTGAGATATGTTCAAATGTAAAAAAAATATTTCACAGATATCTTTTTTTTTTACTTCATATTTACTATCTTATCGTTCAATAGTTAATTACATAGGTATTAAATAGAGCGGCAAGGGAAGACATGTTTCCTCTCTGGAAAAATGCGATCCTCAAAAAAAGTAGTTGATTAAAAAAAATAATGTATACATTATTTTTAATCTAAAATAGGATTTGATAATGAATACCTATGTCCAACATAACAATATTATGTATCATGATCGTTATTGGACGGTGTTCATAAAATCAAGATTGAAGATTATAAACACACGATTAGTTAATAAGTATAATTATAATTATAATTATTACATACCAAGGTTATTAAGTCTAATAACCTTGATTAAATACAGCAAAATTAATTGATAACAATATTATTCACTGGAATAATTTATGATAAAAGATATTGACATGAGTTTTTAATAGTGAAAATGTCATTATCAATTTGCATTTATGATCGCCGCCTTAATAACTCTTGTGTCTTTCACGCTTGGGGTACGAGGATCGAATCCTGCTCATCGTAGTAAATTTTAGATTCGATGCGAAGATGAGATGGTATTAATTTGTTGTTTTTAATGTGTTTTTATATTTAATTTTTTAATTTTTTTTTTTGTGTCTGTTACCACTTTTTCTCAGCTCTCACCGAACCGATTTCTCTCAACGATACATCAAAAGATCACAAATCGTATCTAGTCGACAAAATTATCCTCAAAAATTGAAAAATTTTCCTCATTCCTCGTAAATGGGAGATGTTTCCAAAAAATTACATATTTAAAAATCGCTATTTTTCGACATTTTTAAAATTTTTTTTTATTCAATACTGCCACCACATGTTGAAAATTGTATGGATCAATACAGTTATTTTTTAATAAATACATGAGGTATTTACCTGGTATGCCCACAGGAAGGATTTAAAATGACAACTTTTTCACAAAAAAATAACTTTTAAAAGTGTTTCGAAAATACTGACACTTTTATATATACCTTAAATTAAAGCTTATGTAATGTGCTTAATTATGGAAAAAAAAAATTTCGGACTAGATTTGGTTTTTATGATGAAAACGGACATCAAAGTTAATAAAAAATATACGATTTTAGTAAAAAAATTCTTTTTTATATTCTTAACTCTATAATGCTATAACTTTTTGAAAAATCATTATAATTATATTATGATAAATATTATTTATATTCTTCTTTTATGTGACATATTTTTTTTTTAAATCGGACCATTTCCCTTTATATATTTATATATTATAAATATATATTTATTCATATATTACACTTATAAATTATAAAACTTGTAATCAGAATATAAATAAGGAAATAGGAGATCAAGTAGCTTTTGGAATAATCCACCAATTTTTTTAAATTAAACACTATCTACAGATTTGCTTTAAAGCGATTTTTATGATAGTGATTTTAATCACTGTCAGATATCATTTATAACGGACCCAACTATGCCATGTCGTCACTGTGCTGCGACCCCACTATGCTGGGTTTTTTTAATATCATTATTAATTTATTATTGATGACTAAAAGTTTTCCCCTCATCTGAATTTTATCATAATGGCACCTATAATTGATTATATTAATTACAATATTATTTATTATAAAAACGTTATTTATTATACAAATACTATGTTAAGTATAAATTGTAAAATAAAATCTATACTAAATACTTTACGACACTTGGAAACATGTATCATCGTGCAACGTTAATTCCCACTCTTTTTCAAACACCTCTGCACTCCGCGTCAAAAAATAAGAAACAAACCTTATTAAAATGTCTATCAAAGATAGTGCTGTTAAATGATACATCTTTGTGGGGGAGTACGATTATTTTTTACTTAGTATGATTATAGACTACAATAGAGATGTTTTTGTACGAAACATTAATTCTTAATTTTTTTAAGATGATGTGTTTAAATAATTTTTTACTTTTTTTGCGTCAAAATACTATTAAAAGTACCATTTTGAGTAAAAAGTCGTAATAGAAGAGGAGGAGTTGCGCCCGCTCTAGTACCCTATAAATCTCCTGACAAGAGTGGAAACCTTTAAAAAAAGAACCTTTAAGAACCGGTTCAAAATCATTTCTAACGAAAAAGATAAAGAAATGAGAACTTTTCCATAACCTCAAAGTATTTGTTTTAGAGAACTAGAACTCTGTGAAAAACTAATTCTTTTAAGGGTTCATAAAAACTGTTGTTACCTCCAGACACCTTTAAAGGAGATTAATTTAGTTGACCAGGAAGGATACTGGGAAATATTTACAATAAGATTAATAATATATTTGTTATGTTTTAAAACACAAAAGATATATAATTTATGTAATTAAATAATGGGCGTTCCCAAATAAATTGATAGTTCTTTGAGAAATTACACACACAAATTTATATATATATATATATATAGTTCAATGATCCGACCTTGTCTTCACACGATGACTTAACAACGACTGACTCGGTTCAATCCTTTGGCCCTCTACCATGTAGCCAATTGGCATGAAGACCAATTACAACAATACAGTCAACTTATGATCACTCACACTTATGATACCAAAATATATAAATATGGAAAAGAAAGTAAACCTTATTACATTATTTACTGGTAACAGTACGCGATTTCTTTTCCATTAAAATTATTAACATTTGAATAAGCATTTGTAATTGATATGCAAAAACAATTAGTAGTATAATTCAGATTATTAAATAAAATTATAGAAACATTGTCTAAAACATGTTGAATTTTTAATTAAATAAGTTTATATATCATAAATTGAAACGTGAATATTAATGAATAAGTGCATTTATTATCAAATCTCCTAACAAGAAATATCCTATAATAATATGTTTACAATGATAAAATCACGCAAATTAATAATTGTTATCACTTTTAACTTGGCTAACCATGGAACACTCGTAGTTGACATACGATAATGTTTCTTAATTTTTTAATAAAGATTAGAGATAACCATTTCTGTATAAAGCGTTAAACGTTATTATTATCCATGGAAAAGAAATCGCGTACTGTTACCAGTAAATAATGTAATAAGGTTTACTTCTGTACTTTACATAATATGGACTGACATTTGATACCCAAAGGAAAATTATATAAAAAATAAAAATTTAACAAATTTCAAAATGCTGTAAAAACGTAACTACTTTATTAAAATAAGAGTTTATGGTATTAAAATTTTTCTTTAAAACTTATCTATAAAATGGCTTTCTTAAAATCTTCAAAAAAATTTTAATAAAAAAATTAATTTTTAAAATATTTTTTGTAATTACGAAAAATAACATAAAACATATTTTAAATATAGTTCTATATTGTAAAAATGTATTTAAAAAAAAGTATAATACGTTACGTAGATTATAAGTTATATGAGTCAATTAGATCCGTTCCACTCTGTATATAATACTGAATATATATGTCACTGCATATTAAAACAGTTTAACTTGGCTGTCATAAAATGACAAAACTATGCCATTTCAAATAAAAAATCCCTCTTCTGAATTTTATGTATAATTTTTTTTACAAAAACGGTACCCATTTTCAACACGTAGACAAGTCCATAAGTCAATTTTTTCTTCAAATTAAAGTATATTACATAACATTTGATTTAAGATATATAAATGAGTGCTAGATTTTCCGTAAAATTTTTAAAAGTTAAGTTGAAAAAGTTAATTTTTTGTAGAAAAGTTGCCATTTTAAAACACTCTGTGAGTATGTAACCGAGTAGCAATTCGAGTTCATACTGGGTTCATTTAATATAGTAACAACGGTGCTGAACTCAGTTCAAAACCCGTTCACAGCACGGTTCAAAATGAGATTTGAATACGGATTTTAACATGGGGTGAACCGAGTTCTACAAAAGTTCAGAAAGAGTTCAAAGACCGTCCCTCGGTTCAACTATAAAACCCTCGATAACAGTTCAATAATCGTTCATTAGTTCAATAAAAGCAAGCTCTACGACGATTCATTAAGCGTTCATTAGTTCATTAGCAGTTACGGTATTTTAAATTAAATGTATAGGTTTTGTAAATATTCAAACATTTTATAATTTTAAAATAATAAATTGTATTACTATATACACAATGTATAAAATAAAATAAAATATATTATATGTAAATATAAAATAAAATAGTTAACCTTCGAATTTTAGGTTTATTTTATATTAAATGATAATTAGTAAACAATCCATTCATACAATTTGATAATAATTAATATAAATTAATAACAATAGTTAATTTTAAATAAAAATAATGATGTTAGCAATGTCAGCAATTTATTTACTGTAACTCAGTTTGATTTATTGTTGTACAATATATACCAAAAAAATCCAATAAAAATATTTTATCATAATAAATTAATCACTAAGGTGTTATAGAGTTTAGACAAGAAATATATAGTTAATATTAGTACAGTATTAGTAAATTGTGAAATTGCAATAGTTGATATAACAAAAAATATTACTGTGGTTATAAAAACAATTAGTAATTTTAATTTAATTTCCATGAAATTGAATAAAAGAAAATCATTGCCATAAGTACAACAAAAGAAGTAAAACATATAAGTAGCATTCAATAAGATGGCATAAAATTACCATGTTTTTTTTTTACTGTTTTTATTTCGTTTCCTAAATGCTATATTTTGTTTTCACTATTAATAAAAAAACTGTGAAATAATCTAAGTGAATAAATTTTAAAAATCATTTACAAAAAAATGAAATGTTGATTGAAAAAAAAAAAAAAAAAAGGATTTTATTGCTGTGATGCTTTATTACCAGAATGCTTTAAAATATTAGCTATTATTTTGTTAAATGTTCTTTCGTGTTCAGGTATTATGATTTAGCCAGACATAGCATCTAAAAAATAAAAAATAAACAAACATTAGTACATATAATAACTAGTAAATATATTTGTATAGAACATACAAGGATTCAAAAATTAAGGATAAAGGATTCCCATTATTCGTAACAATTGGCTTGTTTTTCTTTATTTATTGAACATGTAGTATATCTATACAACAGATGGACGGAGCACAGGCAAAACATGTTGTATAGAAGGGACTATTTCATAGAAGAGTGTGGGGAACCCCAAAGTTTATTAAAATCATAAGACGGCATTTTTAAAATAATTTGTAGAATTTTGTATCCATGAAAGTACTTTGTCGGCAATATTCACTTCACACCCCCATAAAATTTACTACTAGGATCACTCCTGTATACAGGTTGTAGCATCATCTTCATTTCTTTTTATACAATGATTTTTTAACTGCTATTTAGAAAAGAATAAAAATACTAATTATACTATGATATAACCAGTATTTTTTCTCTGTAATAAAAAGAAGTAAGTCTGTTTGGGATTTACACCAACAATCTTTATATTGTTTGAAACCTTATGGCTTCTTCAATGACAGCATTTTAACCAACATAGCGTGATCTGTACACACGACACCCCAAAATCATTCAAGTTTTTCTATGAAAAATGTAGTATAAATTAAAAAGTTATTTTTTCTTTGTAGTTTCAAAATTAGTCTTCCAGACTTAGTTTGATTTACTAAGGCGCTACCAATATATTAACATATTCAATTTGCATTTTTATTACAGTTTAATGTTCATACCACGAATTACCTAAAAAATGTGAAGCTTATTAAAAGCTTGTTTGGTGTTGTCACAAAAACTAAAATTTGCGGCCATTTCTCTTGTCATACAAAAATCAAATGCTGTTCTCGTATATGCACTGAAACTTTTAATGGTACCCACTTTAAGCAACAAAACATTTTTCTAGAAAGAAAAAAAAACAATAACTCATCAATTATAATAAATTAAATTATATATATATATATATATTCATAAAAATAATAATATTATTATTATTATTTTTATGAATATACAATGTTACAATTATAGATCAATCATTATTAAAATAGTTGGTATCTTACCAGTATTAATATAGGCTCTAGTAATTGTATCCCAAATAATATAAATAAGAAGGGAAGATAAGAATACTTCAATAGAACAACCTTTCAAGTTAAATAAAACATGCTCCCAAAGAATAATTTTATTTAAAATAATATACCTATAAAAAATTAATAAATTATATAAAAATAATTAACAACTATGCTTTGGGTATAAAAAATTTTATAATTTACTATTATATAATAGTAAATATATTATATTTATTATTTTTTATTATTTTAAATAAAAATATTTTAATACAATAGAGTATAAAGTTTTAAAGTTATTTCATAAATGTCAATAGATATTTATTCAGATTTCTGGAGAAGAAAGAATATAGGGAGTTCAAATATTTTTGTGTAAATGATAAATTATTATTAGTTATTGCACTTCCGGTTAATATGAACTCAATGTTCAAAAATGTTTATTGAGTTATATCAATTTACAATTAAGCGCCAACACATAAAGTTCAGTTAATAAACTATACAGAAATTAACCTTTTAGTGTTACAGTATTCAAATGTTTGATCAAGTACATGGCTATGCTTTGTAAAATATTTATTATACTTATAAAAAAGACATATTTTTTAAATATTGGAAATTAAAAAAGCATGATATCCATCAACATTTATTTATTGTAACTATTTGATATAGTGAAGTAAAATTAACATGATATTTCATAAGAAGTATTTTATTTTGGTTATTATTTAAGTTATAAAATAATTGTGTTTTGGATATTGGGTATTTTAGACAACCTAGGTATATAGATTTCTGTTTTGGGAAACTACTGTGAATAGTTTTATTTATATCTTAAAATTATTTAGGCTACATGTAAGCCTGTTCCTCATAGATTAAAATGTGCCTTTTATAGGTTGATTTGTATAAAAATCTTGTTGATTTAATGGTATAAAGGTTACAAATAATTACAAAAATGAGTTTGATGAAAATCTTGTTTAATGTAAAACCCTGTTAATTGTTAAACGGTGAAAACCTTTATACTTTTCATTTATTTAAAATTTGAATTATTGAAATATAATTTTCATTCAAATAGATGCAATTCTTTTTAACTTAAAATGTTTGATAAATTTAAATTATTGAGTAGTACAATAGAGGGATTTTCATTAAAAATCAACAGTTTTTTAAGAGATGGTATTTCAATGTATACAATTTTGAGAAATATATAAAATGCACCATTTTAAATATTAAAATACAGAAGTAATTTGTATCACATGTATCAATAAATAAGAAGATCTAAAATAAGCTAGAGCTGACCCCAAATAGTTGGGATAAAGGCTTAGGATATGATGATAACGACAATGATATATGATTAAAAACATTTTAAGCTCATGGAAAATCTTGAGGTATCTGTTAATAACTTCATAACAACATAACTAACGATAGTACTTTATTAAAATAAATAATTTTGCATTATAATTATAATTAATCATAATACAAAATGTGAAAATTTAATATATAATTTACCACTTGTATCTATTACAATTACAATAAATGTAGTTACTAAAATGTATGATTATCTTTTAAAAAAATAATATATGCTATTATTAAAATTAATTAAAATAACTATTTATTATTTTAGTCCTAAATTTAAATTAAATGTACTTACATTTTATTGAACTTTTCAGTTAAATATATATGTGAGAGTGAACAGGGATAAAGAGCAGTCTTGACAAGTTATCTAGTCGCTGTGAAAATGGCGAATGTCTCAAAACATAATTTGTAAAGAGAGTAAAACGATCGTTGATAATTTGAAAAAATGTCACAGTAAAAATTAAATAACAAATAAAAATCGCGCGAACTAAAGCTGTTGGTCAACGGTTACTGACACGTCTGGTTATTCCGCCAAAAGTTCGTATGTTAAATTTGCGCTATAGTCTCAATGAAAATAATTTATAACTATTATTTTAAAGTTTTTTTTATTAATGTACTAATCAAGGGATAATATGTTTAATAACAATATAAGTGAATAAAACTATTTGAATGGCTATAACCGTTACAACGATTCTTTCATTATAATGAAAGAACTTTGATGAATCCGTACAATTATTTTGAACATTGAACGGTCCCAGCACTTACTAAAAATTGTTCGGTTATTTATTGAACGCTGAACTTTCCTGGAACTTATAAAAAATTACACGGTTCATTATTGAACATAGAACTCTCCCAGCACTCGTGGGTCGCTTGAACCGACCGTGAACCAAAATAATGCTACTCGGGTAATGGAATAGATTTTCAAAAATATATATATCAAATGATAGGTTACCTAAACAGTCTTTTAAATTTCAAATATACTATAACAGAAACAAGTTGAGAAAAAAATATTAACAGTATCTATTTAGGTAAGTATCTACACATAAAAATATGAAATGACAAATATAGTAATATAATTTATAAAGTATTCAACTAGTTAAAAATATATCAACAACCTTCATAGGTTCCATTAATATAAAACATGTGTATATCACCTTAATTTTTTATTTCTATCATTTTATAACCCTTAATATATAAATTATTTAGTTTCATGTGTAAACAATAATTAATTACATGTTTTTTAAGCTTACATTAAAGAATTAATTAATTGAAATTTTGAATAATCCAAAGCAAGCAAGTACTTATACTACCACATTCGTATCATAAAATTCATTTCATTTCAAATTTAAGTTCTTTTGCAATTATTATTTTTTAACAATTTTGATCATTCGAAAAAATTTCTCATATTAACACTTCATTCTTCAGTGCTCAACATTAATGCGTCCACCGGCATTTTTCACAGATTCGACTTAAAGGGATGCTAGATTGTACTCCATATAAAAAGGGGAACCTGTCCCTCTTCGACCACCATCACCTTAAACACTTTTTTATACGAAAAAACATTTTTTTTTTAATTTCAACGTGTAAATAAAATAGTAAATGATAAAATTACTCAATATTTAGTGTTAAAAATATCTTGCACTATTATCTCCTTAATAATAAAAAAAACAAATAGTTGGTTAAGAATTTATTGTTGATGCACAAAACAAATTAATACGAAAAATGTTAAGCTGGCGACTACAACCAAAATGCAATTGCTATTATTTTATTTAAACATTTTATCTGGAAATATATTCAAACGAAGTTCATTTAATTTAAATATGAATATTTAGTAAGTTTATCAACCACTTAATATAAAAATCAAGTTTAAATTAAATCTTTAACGACTTTTTATAGATGTTCACTGTTAGGTAGGTAACAAATAATTATTTCTTAAACTGATATTGAGTGCTTAGCGTGGCGAATATTTCATAGCTTTCTCGTAAAGAGGGCGCGAGTTCTGTGAATATCATGCCACATAATCTTACGTTGTGATCCCGATAAAATATGGTCAACAGATTAAGTACTTATCAAGTATCACGTAAACAAAATTTAAGAAATAATTTTAAAAATATAGAACGCCGATGGTCATATCACGCATAATTTGTGTTTATTAAGAATATCCACCTATTATACAAAATTATTCTGTAAAATGATTTTTTTGTCACCTGCCAATTTAGTTAATAGTATCTAGTATAAATTATATTTAATTTTTTTTATATTTTTAAAATTAACTGCTTTGGAAAATTGCTAATGTAAGTACGTTATTTAAACATTGACCTTGTTACACTAACAAACTTTTTTCTTAAAATGTTCTTAAGATAAAATTATTTTTGTACAAAATTCTATTTTGAATTTTGTTTTTACTTCACAGGTATTCATTTTATTATTTTTATCATGTCAATGAGAATGAGAATTATACAACTTAAACGAAATAAATCTACTCGAATTGTAGTTGGCTTGGTCATCATTATTGTGCTTTTATTTGCCTTATTTAAACGTTCAGAAAATATAAAAAATTCTCATTTACCATCATTTAGTAGATATTCAAGGCAGTCTATTGAAGTAAGTGTATTTGAATAAATATTAAATTTTAAAGAAATATGTATAACTTTTGTAGAAAAAAATTTTTTTTACTTGAAAAATATTGGTATAAAACATATAAAATAGCTTGATTTATCTAGTAGATTAAAAATTATTTCTCTTACTAAACATGCTAATTCATAATGTATTTGATAAAATGTAATATCATAAATTTCTCATCAGAAAAATGTATTTTAAAATTATTTGTTCTAATTTATTACAGTCTCCGTTATATCGCGAGGGAATTCTTGGTAACTATGAACCAAAAATCCCAGTTCCAGGGTCAGGTCCAGGTGAAGGAGGAAAACCTTACAGAGTTCCAAGTAACAGAGAAAATGAAGCACTCCAGGGTATATCAGAGTATGGTATGAATATGGCCTGTTCAGAAGATATTTCTCTCAATCGAACTATTCCAGATTTACGGATGAAAGAGTAATATTTGATTAAATGTTACATCTCAACTTTCCATGAAACCTTATAAATATTTACAATTCTTTTCTTTACTTCTGTTAATTTTTTTTTAACTATACTGCTATAAAAAAATGTAATAGTATTCATTAATTTATTTATTTGTAAAAAGGTGTAAATATTGGACCTATCCTGAAGAATTACCCCGTACTAGTGTAATAATTGTATTTCATAATGAAGGTTGGTCATCTCTATTAAGAACAGTGCATAGCATTTTAAATAGAACTCCTCCTCAATTCCTAGAAGAAATTCTTCTTGTTGATGACTTTAGTGATAAAGGTAAACTATCTGTTCACTTATTGTAATGTAAACAAGTAGATCATTCTTTTCAACAATATCTTCAAATTTTTGTTTCTTTCTGGAAAGAAAAGAATTAAAATGTATAGAAATCTGTATGAAATTAATAACACATTCTACTCTCAAGAAGTTTAATATTGAGTTTCAGATGTATCAATTTTGCCAGAATATGCAAGATAATTCTTTTAACACTAGCAACTGAATTTCTAATTAAGTGGCATTTATTCACTTAAAATAATATTTTTTTTGTAAATCTTAGTTTACTTATGCATCTCCATTCATCTGTTATAAAATATGTTTTATATTTATCCTTTATGTCTAATAGGATTGTCAACTTTCATTTTATAAATGAAAACATACATAATTAACTAGCTTAAAAAGTAAACAATTATATAAATAAAAAATGACTATTAGACCAGTATTTCAGAAGTTATTAACATAATTATACCTAGGCAGAAAAAGGGAGAGGCAAAGACATGTCTAGTAATAAAAATAGTAGCCCCCACCCTCACCTCTTGTCATTACTTTAAATGATTAATAACTTTTGAAATATTTATCCAAAAGTTGTAACCGACCAGTCATTTTCTTAATTATATAATTTTCTTTTTTATAAGATGTTTATATACGTATGTCATCATTAAAAAAAATAAAGTTGATAACCCTATATGACAAGAAATATATATAAAAATTATTTTATAACTAATAAATAGATAGTGATGCATATGTAACTAGCAAAAGCGAAAAAAAGTTATTAGTTTAAGAGAAATTGAGTGGCTAGTTTTAAAAGAATCACTATTTATTACTCTTTAAAGGAATTTTAATAACAAGTAATATAGTGTAAATTAGAGGGCATAGGGAGCTAAGACTTTCTAAAATTAAAAAATAGAAGATTTAGCTCTCTACAAATAATAATCTAACCTGTTAATTTAATAGATAACTTTTAATAATATCTATTTTTTATTTTTGTACATATTTGGTATGAAAAAAAAGCTAAGAAAATTCTTATAAAGGATCCAAAAAAATTAAGTTTAAATTTTCACTCTAGATAAGTATAATAGAGAGTTATTATATTTTGATATATAACATTGTTAAAAGAAGTAAGCATAGTGTAACATAATTCTAAAACGAATAAAAATTCATATGATGATGAATTCAAAATTCATATAAAAATTTAATTGTAACTTAGTATATCTACAAGATTAACTTAATTTTACAACTTTTAATAAATTTACATAAAAATGAATAGTTAAGTAACTTATAAAATTGTAATGTCTTATAATTATTATTATTAGAAAACTTGAAGAATAAACTAGAGTATTATATAGAACAATTTAATGGTAAAGTTAGACTGATAAGGAATTCTGAACGTGAAGGATTAATTAGAACAAGATCAAAGGGTGCTTTCAACGCTAGGGGAGAAATTATATTATTTTTGGATGCTCATTGTGAAGTTGGTTACAACTGGCTCCCTCCTCTAGTTTCACCTATTGCTCTTGACAGGTAGATAAAAAATCTAAATAATTTATTCTATGTTTTAATTGTCTAGACTAGGCACCTCCTAGTTCAGTCAATAATGTGTCATTCATTAAAGCTTAAATATTTGGGTTTGATTCCATTGCATTGAATTATGTAAATTTTTCCAACTTTTGGCATAATCAATACCTTATAGAAAGGATGTTAAATATGGCTGTTATAATGTTTGTCATACTTATTATAATCTTTTTTTTTTTTTTTTTAGAAAAATTATGACAGTTCCTTTCATAGATGGCATTGATCATAATACTTGGGAATATAGGCCTGTTTATGAAAAAGATCATTTTTTCCGAGGTATTTTTGAATGGGGTATGCTTTATAAAGAAATTGAAATTCCAATTCAAGAAGAACAGAAAAGAACATATAAGAGTGAACCATATAAGTAAATCATTAATTATTTTGGAATAGAACAGAATAATTTTAAGTAATAAAAAAATGTGCTTTAGATCTCCAACTCATGCTGGAGGTTTATTTGCAATGAACAGAGATTATTTCATTGAACTTGGTGCATATGATCCAGGATTACTAGTATGGGGAGGAGAAAACTTTGAGTTATCATTTAAAGTAATTTCCTTTATGTTTTAAGAATTCAGTTCTCTTTCATCTAACTTTGAACTGACATTTATAATCCTTTCATTTAACTTAGTCTTTTGCCATCTCTTCTCTTGAATTTTATGACTTTATTAATAAAAATAAGCTCATAAAAATTCAAAATTAACCAACTTAAAAATACTGTAAAAATTTAATAACAACTGACAAAATAAAAAATTTTATTTAAGACTTTGATATATTAAAATAATTCTCCTGATTTTTTATATTCTATAAAAAAAAAAATTACTAGTTAAACAGATAATTTTTTAGATTTGGCAATGTGGAGGAAGTATTGAATGGGTTCCCTGCTCTCGTGTTGGACATGTTTACCGTGGTTTTATGCCTTATGATTTTGGAAAACTCGGTAGCAAAGTAAAAGGTCCTTTGATTACCTATGTAAGTACTTTAATATATTAGGTTTAATTTTATATTTATAATTTAATAATTCTTAACTATTACAGAACTATAAACGAGTGATAGAAACATGGTTTGATCAAAAACATAAAGAATTCTTTTATACCCGTGAACCTTTAGCTCGTTATATTGAAATGGGTGATATTAGTAAACAATTGGAGTTAAAAGAAAAGCTTCAATGCAAAGACTTTTCTTGGTTTATGGAAAATGTCGCTTTTGATGTGTATACAAAATTTCCAGAATTACCTCCTAATTTGCATTGGGGTGAAGTAAGAAAATGATTACTGATAAACTTAGTTTTAGTTATTATTGAGGTGGACATAATGCCCATGCACTCAGACTTGTTGGTCCATTGTGCGTACCTCATACCGAATTGTCTTGATTCGGTTTACCCACCTAAGTGTTATCACCAAAGTGTTAATACATTACCAACCATAAAGTCACCTCTAAAGATGACCAAAGAGTCCTGTCTTTCTGGCGAAATTAAGTATCTCTCTGGGTTTAAGGTTTTTAATATCCTCTTTTTCAGGAAATGGTTTATTCAAGTAGTTTGATCTTAGTGTGGACAAGGCTTCACATTCGCACATGATGTGAAATGAGTCTTCCTCTTCTACTCCACACTTCCTGCACAATGGTGATTCCGATACCCCCATTGCGTTAAGATGCTTAAGCAGGTGACCATGTCCTGTCAGTAGACCAGTCAGGGTGCTTATTTGATGTCTAGTCATGCTATTAAGATCACCCAGCAATAAACCAGGGGTCTTGATAAACATTTTAGATTGTCTAGGTACTACCAAGTACTTCCAGATTTTCCTGTGTTGTTCTCTGCACCAATTCTTGGGTAACGCTTTGAGCGATTGCTCAGTGAGCCCTACCACTGGTTCTGGTCCAACATAGATGTTCTCTGCTCCTTTCCTGGCTAGAAAGTCAGCATTCTCATTTCCAGTGACACCGTTGTGTCCCGGTACCCACGCTAGTGTAACTTTGTTGAACCTCGATAGTGATTCTAAAGTTTCCCTGCATTCGAGGACCAGCTTTGAATTCACCTGATCGTTACAGAGTGCTTTCAAAGCCGTTTGACTATCACTTAAGATAGTTATCTTCCTATTTTTGTATACCAGCAGGTTCTGAGCCCCTACCAGTATCGCCATCACCTCTGCTTGGAAAACAGAGGGTGTTGTGCCCAATGACATACTGACATTTATTCGTGGTTTTAAGCCCCAAATTCCAGCACCTACCTTTCCTGATTTTTTGGATCCATCTGTATATATCACAAATCCTCCTTTGTCAGTCAGGTGGTTAATATTCCATTCTCTACGTGTAGTGATCTCCACTTTGTAGGGAATGTTATTCTTAAGAACCGGTTTGATATAGTCCAAGGGGTATTCTAAAAAGCCCTTGTCTATCTCTTTTAGTATTTTACCATGTTCTGTTGTATCACTCTCCAAAGTCCACATACCTAAGTTGTGGAATCTTAGTGCTGTAGCTTTGGCGTGAGCTTTCATCTCTAGATGCAGAGGAGGCAATCCAATTAGTGCCTCTAATGCGACCGTTGGTGTAGTTCTTAATGCTCCAGTGAGGGCAATAGCAGCCATTCTCTGTATGCTACTGATAAACTTAATAGTCGTTTTGTAAAATATTTATGCATTTACATTCAGGTTCAAAATGTTGGTAAAAAAAAATGTCTTGATACTAGAGGACGACAACCTCCATCATTAATTGGCTTAGAATTATGTCATGGACAAGGAAATAATCAAGTAATTAAATAAATAATGATGTAATCTCAAAATTAGTTTTCATAAAATTTCCATATAGCTTTTCAGATTAAATTCTAAAGGACAGTTGGGTGTAGGAGAACGTTGTGTTAATGCAGACAGACAAGGTGTCAAATTAGTTGTTTGTTCTTTAGGAACTGTTGATGGAAACTGGCAATATGAATCAGTATGTATTAATACTTAATCATTAATCTTTCTTTTAGATAATTCAACTTAAGTTTAAAAAAATTTACTAACATCCAACTACATAATTTTTTTATATTACCTTTCAAATAAATTAAGAATTTTTTTAGAAAGCTTTTAATTATTTAATGACTGAAATTTACTGTATTTGCAAAAATAACATTTTTAACAATTAAATAAAAATTAATTTGCAAATAGAACTAATGCAAAATAAGTGGTTTTTTTTAAGTTTATGAACACATTATTAAAAGAAAAAAGTTTCATCCATTTACTTGATGATTTAAATGTTAACAATTGCTTACAAGCCCAAAATCTAAATGCTTGAAATATAAATATTGGGGTTCTTATAATTTTAACTATTGTACAAAGCACTTGATAATCAGGTAAAGATATTTTAACTTTTTGAATTAATTAATTTAATAATTATGAATTAGTGAGGTTAAGTAATAGACCAAGCCAATTTGGGCTGAAATAATTCAGCTCTTAATAGTTTGCTATGAATAAATTTAATGCTTTATAATTAATGAAAGATCATAAATGCATAGCAATAAAATTTGTTTTTACAGAACTTAGTGGTCTTGTAAAAAAACCAATTACTTAATAACAAATTTTTCTTTGCGTGTAAAATAAAAATATCTAAATTAAACATTAATTGATAACTTTAGAAACTTGCATACACACTAAAAAAATAATTTTCATTAAACAAACAAGACATTTATTTATTTAACATTTAGTAAGGCAATAAAGTGTGTATAACCAAAATAAAATATAAGACTTTAAATTATTTTAAAGTAAATTTGGAGAAACTTTGGTAATCTGCTAATTTTGTCATAAAATTAACATTTATTATTTTGTTTATAGGCTAATAAATTATTATTTCATACGAAAACCAAAAAATGTCTTAATGCCCATCCTTCATCTACTCAAGTAATGCTAGCACCCTGTGATACAAATAACGCAAATCAACAATGGACATTTAAAGCAATTATACCTAAATGGTGAATGGACTTGATTTCTAGTTATAGATCATATATATCATATGTAAATTAATTGCTACTTGTTATTAATAATAATGATTATTTATAATTATTGAAAGTTATAATTAATAATTTAAACATTTTATTTTGTTATTGAAATTACAAGACTATCATTGAAACTACTTATTTTATAATCAAATTTTTTACATTTGCTAATAAAGATATTCAATTTTTATATGTGGTTGATATTTTTAATTAATGTAAATATTTAATATCCAGAAAATACATACCTTATTAATTTTACTGTGATATGTCTACTATTTTTTGTATGTGTCTGACATCATTTTTTCTCTACACTCTCTGAACCGATTTTATTAACAGTACATCAAAAGATTACAAATCATATCTAGTTGCAGATGGCAAAAATTTCCCTCAATACCCGTAAATAAGTGGAATACCCAAAAAATTACGATTTTTGAAATCAGAATAAATTTTTTTTATATAAATACAAAACTGCCACAAAATCTATTTTAAAATAGTGGCATTATAGATCAAAAAAATACAAAGAAAACAGAGGTCATTTATAAAATGAACATTATAAATACTAATATTATTATTATTAATAGTTTACCTATTTAATCGGGGAAAAGGAAGAGAGAAAGTGCCAAAAATACTAATTTTTTTGTCAGGGACTATATACATTGAATATTATAACTGTATTAAATGAAAAAATATAGAAATGTTTATATTGCATTAACCTTAGGCTTCAAAATATAGTTCAACATACAGTTAATACTGTATAAGTACAATTCATGTTATAATATGGTAGCTCTCTTAAAGTCTTTAATTATAAAGCATAAAACAAATAAAAATTAATAACACATGAAATTTAATTTTTTAAGTATTTTTTTTTTAAGTAACTAAATAGCAAAATAAAGATTAATTATGTACTTTGAAATGTAGTATAAAACCATACACAAATGACACTTAACTAACATTTTATAATAAAATAAAAATAACATTTAAAAAATATCTACTTTTTATTAGGTTTTCTTACTTTAAAAAAAACGGTAGCACAGTGTAGACGCGGGAAAGTATGGACGTGGTATAGTTGGTACAAGTATAGATGATATCTGACAGTGATTAAAATCATTATCATAAAAAAAGCTTCAATGCAAATCTGTAGTGTTAAATTTTAAGAAATTTGTAGATTATTTCAAGCAACAATAATTCTTATTCCCTTAATTTTATCCCGATTAATTATTTTATTTATTATTATCAGGGTTCGGATTTAATAGTACCAAAAATTCTAAAATATGCGCTATAAATATGCCCTAAAAACATCAAAATAGCAAAAAAAAAAATACAAATTAAAATTGTATTAAATTTATTATTTAACTATTAAATAACTAGGTCTACAAAAAAGCTCATTATCATTTTCCCGTAAGATCAAAAACTTAGCAAAAAAATTTAAAAAAGTCCAAAAATTTGAATGTTCCTAAAACTTTGAGTTNAAAAGTGCAAAAATTTGAATTTTCCTAAAACTTTGAGCTTAGAGCGCGCCCTGTTAATCATGTTATATGAAGCTCAAATTTTGCAGATATTATACTTAGACCTATAGGAACAAATTCCCGGGCGGCACTCTTTGAATTTCATAAAAAAAAAATCGTTCATATATAAATAAGGGGCACCCTAATATATATGTATAATTACATTTTTACAAAACATAATACATTACATTACGTGATTTTATTTTGAAAATTATTTTTTATTTTTTTTGGAATATGCTTTCATATTCTAAAAAGTACATATAAAATTAATTTAAATTTTTAAAAAAACTTCATTTTGTATTTATAAAACAATACATTTGTATTTGCAGGATACACGTTAAGCTAACATTGGCAAAATAATCATCTTTTCGCAGTGTCGGCCTGGCTCAGAAGGCCCTCATTAAATTTAAGATTTTTTTTCTCACTGGACCACTGAGAAAATTGTCCAACAAATTTAATTATTATTAAAAAAAGGAAAGGCTATTCAGATATTTTTTTCAAGGAAATATTAAACTGATTTCAATAAATGTATATTAGATTTTAAACAAAAAGAACTTTAAATAAATAATTTTTTACTCCTTAATATTTTTAACTTTTCTTTGAGCACCACTGGAGATTATAATGGTTTTACTTATAATTTAACATTGATTATAAAACTCATGTCACAAAATTAAATTTTTTTAACGATGAGTTAATATATTTTTAATTTTAGATGACACACAGAATTTTTAAATAAGAAAAAATTAATTCTACTTATATATAACCAAAACTTACTAATTCTTAGCATAACTCATATTAGACTTGTAGCAAAACTTACACAGTTTAATACTATTTTAATTTTTTTTAATATAAGTTAAAAATAATTTTAGTAATTAATTTTCAATTAAAATTGCTGAAAGAAAAATTAATCATACTCTTCTGAGTCTATAAAAACCTATTGGAAGAAACTTCCAGAAAGTAATAAGACTAAAAAAAATGTGTTCAACAATTACTGCATTGAAGTTGGATATACTGTGTTATTTTATACTTAGATATCCTAATGCAGCACAGGAAAAAATCCAGACATCCCCAAGAATGATTTTATATTGTACAAACAATTTTATGTGTTATATTAGTTATTATTTTTTAATATTACACACTTAGGAATTAATCACTAATAAAATTGCACAAGACAATTTTTACAGCACATATTTGTTATAGAAAAATTAGTTTTCAAATGGATCTTATAGATGTTAAAAAATAAGTTACTGTTAGATAAAATTTTGTGGATCGACTGAAAAAACAGTTAACTAACAGTTTTTTGATTTGATGAAAATATTTTGTAATTATTGGATAATTAAAAAATAAAATTCTCAAAGATAAATATATATTCTAACAATAGAGAAAACTTTTTCAAAAATGTACATTTGTATTAAACACTATTAATTTTATGTTACTTAATGAATGACTATTATCATTCGAGTATTAATAACATATGTCAAATGTGAGAAATTGTACCAGAAAATAATAAGCAAAATGTATATTATTGTATAATAACTATAGTAGCAAATAAATGCTAATTGAATAGAACATTTTAATTTTAATTTTACAATATTATTAATAATAATATAATTAATTTAATCATGTAGTGTTTCTGTAGCCACGTGACCCTGACGTTGCAACATATACGATCAATGCGCCCTATTACTAACAATGCAATCGAAATATAATATAACTTTCGATGCATAATCAAACTATCGATAATGTCGGAGTTTTCACTATTTCATTTTTTAAATTTAATGTCGGAGTAAAATCCGTCATAATTTTGGTAACCTATGAATCAGATGGTCGGAGTACCAGATGTTCGTAACAATTACTACTTTGTCAAATGTCGAAGTATGTAAATGTCGGAGCATCATCAGTTCGTGGTAAAGGTGCTCTCCCAAAACCAATACCTTCTCAGCTTCGCATCGAAGCTAATATGGATCCAGAATGTTCAATATCCAGAGTACCAATGATGACATTAGCAATAAAGCGTTTTTCGACGTCCGTGGTTTCATCGATACTCACCCAGATGCGGTTATTAGATACTTTATTTCTAATTTTTTCGATAGTTTCATTGTAGATATCCTCAACGTATAATTTTCTCAGTGTTGATTCATCTGGAATTGGATTTTTAGTATACTTTTCTAAAAATTGTCGAAACTTTACTTTGGATAATTTGTTTAGTGGTATATTTGTAGAAATAAGAGTCTTGCAAAGGTCGATATTAAAAGTAGATTTTTGTGAAATATTTGTAAGTAACTGCTGTTTCTTTTCAATTTTATTTTCCTCTCTTTTAATGGGTTTTAAATGTTTTTCCGTTTTTAAGTGTTGAGTAACGTTAAACTTTTTGTCACTATTAACTTTACATTCGCACAATTTGCAAAACAGAATACTAGCATCAATCAAAAAAACCTCATCGCCAAACTCGGACAAAAAATACCCAAGTCTCGAATAGTTCGATGTTTTATCTTTCGGCATCTTACGTTAAATATCGAAACAGAAAAGCAAATAGTACACTATTGAGTAATGAACGAATATGAAACAAAATTAAACGATACGGAGAACTGACTGACGCTAAAATACGTACTATAGTCCAGAGGTTCTCAAAGTCAAATGAATCACGGACCCCCATCTAAAGACCTACAGTTTTAAAGACCTAACCCTGATATGTGCTCGCGGACCCCTGGGGGTCCGCGGACCACACTTTGAGAAACTCTGCTATAGTCGACAGTATATCATATCATCAACATTATGGAACAATAATAAAATTAATTTAAACAAAACAGATAAGAAAGTATGAAATGTATAAATATATTTGACTACGGCCGGCTACTTATAAATAAATTATGACTCATAATCAATATTAGTATCAATTTTCAATATAAAACGAAAATGTGGGATTTTTTCTTATAGATTCACATAAATTATTAATATTTTTCATTCAATATTTACGAGATTTATAAAAAATACAAAATAAAGCGTTAAGTTACATATTTTAACATAAAATAGCACCAAAACTTTAAAAATAGCTCTAAAAACCTAAAATACTTCAAATATGCAAAAAATAGCAAAATAAAATTTCATATTTGAAGTCTCTGGTGCATAAAACAAATTTATAGCCCACTCTACTATTTTTATCTGTATCCTATAATAAGTAGCAAATGCTATAAAATCCGAACCCTGATTATTATAATATATGAATAAATAATAATTATAGTAATTAAATTTAGTATGAAATTGATATTCAATAATTTAATATTGTAATTTTTACGGAGATATTTTATTATATAATAGAACAAGGAAAAAAACGCTTTTCTGGGTGAAACTACTTAGCCTGCTCGGAATTTCAAAATTTTTTTTTTCAACGAAAGTACTCGGTCACCAGACTCCGGGAAAATTATTGGCGAAGGTCGGAAAATTTTTGCCGCTCGCCCGCGAGCGTTTTAAAATTTCGACCGTTTTCGAGAAAAACGCTCGCTGACGCCAGCGTTTTACGACTTAAAGTTTGAAATTTTCATCAGACCCGCCCCATGACATTCCTGAGATGTGATAAAAAAATCAATTCAATCCGTTCATTTTTCACCGTTTTACGAGCTTTTTTTTTTTCATGCGCTCGAGACGCCAGGGCGACACTGGTTGCGACACTTTACGACATTAAAACGATTTTTTTTACGATTCGCAATCATACCACGGCGTTCTGTACGTGCCGAGGAAGTGCCAAAAATCGGAAAATCCCAGATCCGACAAAAACTCTGGCCGCTACGAGCGTTTGAAATTCATCAAATTTTAACGGAAAATGACGATTTTTCTGTTTGCTAATAATACACATGTACGCGTCCTATTATATCTTATTATATAATAGAACAAGGAAAAAAACGCTTTTCTGGGAAAATTACTTAGCGTGCTCGGAATTTCAAATTTTTTTTTTTTAAGTCCACGCGCATGTTTTTAATTAGGGTATTTGTTCGTTTCTGCGCATATGTATTTTGTGACTTTTAATTTTAAATTTTTAAATTTTAATATTGTAAATATGCTATCACATTCTTTTTAATTAGTTTATAATTCAAAATATTTTGATTTATATAATGGGATTTATTGGTATATTTATCTTTTAATTTGTTTGATGATTTGTTTTAAAATTAACATAATGTTGGAATGCACTTCATTGAAGCTGAGTTTTCTTAATGAATTAATAATTTTTCTATTTATAAGATATTTAATTTATTTTATTAATTAATTAATATTATTAATATATCACAAAATAATATTTATAAAATATTTTATTTTTTCCCTTGGTATTTTTTTTATTTTTATACCAACATTTTTCTGGTGTGTGTTTTGACATTTTTTGGCAATAATTGCACCCTGCAACAAAATTTAAACGTATTATTCAGTTTCTATTTTTATTGGTGTATTTTTTTGTAGTATTATTTATATGAATGGTAAAAAACTTTATGATACCTTAGTATATACATCTGCGTATGAATAATTCGCAAATTAAAAACTGTTTAACTACAATTTTTAAATATCATGATTGTCAAATAAAATAATAGTTTTCAGGAATCTCATAAAAATATTGTATTTAACGTAAATGCTAAATTATTTTTGGTTTAGTCAAATACAAATGTGTTTAAAAAATAATAATTAATTCGAGTTACATATAATTATGTTTATAGAAAAATGGTTCTAAGCCTAATTTTTCAATAAAATTTATCATAATATAAAACATTTAAATATCTTAAATATAGTATACATATGTTTAAACTGTTTGGGCGTTATACATTTTTTACATAAACCTTATCATATAATGTTTTACAGATATTTTAATTAGTCATTAATTGTGTATATAATTTTTTACTATTAAATACAATATTTAGTTGTTAAATGTAATGTAATTTTAAACTATAGTATATAATTTAGAGTAGTTAGAAAAAAAAATGTTTTTCAATAAATGTTTGTTGATTATTGATATTATAGAATGAATTATATAATTTTGGATTTTACTTACATTTTGTAGAATTATTTTTTTTATTTAGTGCTTTTTTTTTGTAGCAATTTATTGATAAATGGCCAAAAGAATGGCAACTGTAACATCCTATTTTATATAATATTTCTTGTTAATATATGGGTGTAAATTATTATATTAATATTTTGTATTTGATACGTACTTTTATTGGTGTTTTTTTTCGGCACACTTTTATGAGGAGGCGATTTAGTAAAAATTACTTTATTTATGACACCACCTTTATTTATAATCATCTGTAATATAGTTTTCAGTTTGATTATAATACAAAGTATTATGAAAATATGTAAAATTATATATACTTACGGTCAATTGACAATATGCTTATTATAAATGATAGATTTTTATTCAAATTCTCATCGAACAATGATTACTTACCTTACGGACTGTTGCTTTATGAGGTATAATACACATTATCAGAAAGTATTAATTTAAAATTTATGGAAGGCAGACGGATTATTAAATTGAAATCACAATACACGCGCGATAGTGGATATAATAAACTT